TGATACTGTTCTAAGCAGACAGAAGAGAGCAGAGTGGTCTCTGCTGAGGATAAAGGTGTATTTCAAAGCAATGCCAAGAAATAAGTTACAATTAGAATGTACATTAGAAAGACCTTAAAAACTGAGATGGGTAGCTGATATAAGTATGAACTTGCACCTGCCTCAAGGTGACATCTCTTTTAGTTCTTGCTCAAACCCAGAAACTCCCTTGGAAATGCCATCAGGTGAGAAGATTACCAGCCTAAAAAATCAGGCTGATGGCACTCGCTGAAATAGGTGGGAAGAAGCCAAATTTATGCTAACAGTCTCACCTTATTTGGAGTGAAAGAAGTATTATAAACCAAGAATCAGTCTATAATCTTTAAGAAAGTGTTTGTTACTGTTGCAACACATATAGTGCATGTATGTATGTACGTACTTACAATAAGTGGTTCCTTAGAGCATGCTTATAGATGTTGTCTGGAAGCTTCTGTTTCACCATTGGCCACGTTGTTCAGGGTAAACCATATGATTGCACGGCCACCTTCACCTCTGCAGCTCTGTCACTGACTCACAGTGCTCTGCTGTGGAGTTGGTGGAGTTGGACAACATGCAGCCGAGATGGGTCTGTGCTCAGAGAGGGTCTTTCTGTGCAGGATGTCCTGTGTGTGTGCTGATCACTGGGGGGTTAGCTGTGAAATCCACAGGGTGCTCTCTAATTTATCTTTTCAGCACCTTTTTTTGGGTTCTTTTTGGTGGAGGAAGGATGTTGTGAAACCGTGTAAGTAGATACTGAAAGTGTGTTTTACAACCCACAGCATGTTTGCATGCTGGGAATGGAGGTGCTGGAGCAGATGATGTGATAGCTGTTAATGCAACGCAGAGCGTGTACACGTGGCTGGAGTGAAAAGCATCAAAGGTAACTCATCTGATGGCTAAAACAACCCTCAGCCCCACTACTGACAACACCAGGTGATGCTGGCTGCCATGGGCTGCTTTGGTAGTGGGACTCTTGGAAGGGCCCTTGCACTTGCAGCCAGCTGCCTCACACAGCATGGAAAAGCAGAAATAGCCCAATTTCCCTAGGTTACCCTTGGGGGTTGAAATGCAACCACTTCCAGGGCCACTCACTTCTCTCTGTAGATTTGGGAGACACTGCTATGTCTTATTTGCATGCATCCGTTCTTATATCATTGCATGTGAAGGCAATTAAGGCCCTGAAAATGCAGTGCTACACAACCAGGCAGCTCCATCCTGGGAGCCGCGAGGCAGCCTCCCCTTGGTGCACCCACCCTTTTGGTCCTGCAGGATCACAAGATGCACAGACAGCAAACAAGAGACCCAGATGGCTGCACACATTACAGCTGACTTGCAAATCTGAACTATTTGGAACTGGAGTTGAAAAAATCCTCATGATCTGCCAAAGTCTGAAAGAAAATCAGACTCCAGTGGAAGAATGGCACTGGTTTGGTTCTGGTTTTTGCAAGAAATCTCAGAGCAAGCTCAGATCATGAACTCTGCACATCCTCCATGTGTAAATTCGTGACTCAGGGGCTGGGCAGCCACAAGTTTTGGCGCAGTTCCTGCTGCAACGCCGCATTTCTCCTGTTTTCAAAACACGCTGCACGTTTCCACGAGTCGCTCCCTCTGCTGGCTGTTGTGTGAATTAGCAGACAATAATTCACACACCTCAGTCTGCATTTCAGCTGCAAAAGTTGTGCCTGGGTTAATAGCAAAAAATCTTTTTCTGTATTTCTCTACCGCGCTCTGAATCCCGCAGCTCAATTGCACCGCACCTGTGTTTGTGGGAGAGACCGTTTTCTATTTACACCAATGATTACTGATGGTTTAAATCTCTCATTACAAAGCGTGTTGCCCCCTTGAGGAGCTCTGCCTCTCCTGCATCTCTGGGCTGTCTTACTATGAAGCACAGCAGTTTAATATTATAATTTCTCCCTTAACACATGAAGGTCGAGATGGAAGTATTTAGTATTGGCTCGTTTATATACAGCCAGAAACAAAGTAATAATGATAAAAAGTTTTATAAAAGCAGTTTTAAAGGGGAGATTGTAGCATTTCTATTTATTTTTCTTTTTTCTTTTTCCTCTCTTGTTGTTGAGCAGCTGATGAACACTTTGAAATGCTGCAGAAAACTAGGGTGGAAAAGTTAAACTTATGTGAGGAGTAAAAGGCAGTCCTGGGGTATGTTTGTGACGTGCTGCTGAAGATTTATGCAACTCTTATGAAAGAAAGAAATGCAGCTGGACTTGTGCCAAAGAAGGGGTTAAAAGCAAGCAGAGAACATGTGCTGTTCCTGGAGACAAACAAAATAGCCTGTGGTCCTGATCCAAGGAGGCTTCTGAGTGCGAGGGAAAGGCAAACAGGTATGAAAATAGAACGAGGATATGCACTGGATGAAACTGATTTCAAACATATCATCTATTAGCACATAAAATCTGTTTATGGAGCAAAATGAGGGACGTGAGCTCAGCTGCCTGTCCTGGAGAGAGCAACAGCACTTGTGCAGGCATCGTGCATTATCCAGTGCAAGCAAATGTAGTCAGCATTTATCAGATATCAAGGAAGAGAAGGTCATGCACACAGAGCATGGACACACAAACAAGGCTTCCTGCTCTGCAAACATCCACCCTGGTTTGAATTCAGCATTTTGGGCAGTAACTGTCAATGACCTCTTCTAAGTGAAAACTCCAATTGGAAGTGTTGCACATCTAGAAAAAAAAGAAAAAAGCAAAAAGCAGTGATCTTGGGGAAACCAGCAGATACATTTCACTTTATTTGTTCTTCACTTCAGTAGCACGTTTGAATCGCACTTGCTAATTAGATCTTACAAGATCTTTGCCCTGCACAGGGAAAGAAGCAAACAAACAGTCACATGTACGTTACTGAATGCATTTACATCAAGTATGTTGCACTTTAGGTTTTTGAACATCATAAATAAGAGAACTAATTACACCAGCTTAGAGATCAGAGCAGCTTAAGAGGCTTGTCAGGTTAATCTAACATCCTTATTTGAGAAAGTTTCTCATCAAGTTTAATCAGAGATTAGAAATATACCCATGATACAAATCCATATATACAAATTGATATTATTAGTGATTTTTATACACCGTTACACATTTTCATTTTGCTTCTGGTTTTGAGAAATGCTCAACTCCCATTCTTTAAGAGGCTCCAGGCTGCACAAACAAAAACTTCATTTAGTTCTGTGAACATTGGCCGAAACCACTGTGGAACTGCTATTGCAGTTCCCACATCCATGAAGTAGGATGGAAGTGACCATAGGTTCATGTTATGAAGGCTTTGTTTTTAAATCTTATGACGTTAACTGTAGGAGGGGGGAGAAAAAGTCACCTTCAGAAAGTAGATGGTTGTTTAATGGAAACGCAATGAGACAAATTTGATGAGTAACTTTTAGAAAGCAGACTTTTCACTACATTTGTGAAATAGTGCTAGAAGCATTTCTGCATCTGATCCTAAATCGTGCAAGGTGCCCTAAACTGCTTTGTGAAACTAAAGGAATGAAGGTGCTACTTACTTCCACAAAGACACTTCAGAAGACTGTAGGGTTTTTCTGAATGAGGGTTATTAAAGAAATAAAGCACCACATGAACAAGTAAAGCTTTTTTTTAACATGCATTAACCTTAATCTCTTCCTGCAGGCACCAGACCTCTGTAAAAATGCTGTTAGTGCTCTGCTTGGGTGCCTGCAGTTCAGCTGGAAGCAATGCTGAACTTTCAACTCTTTGAATGCCCGCATGGGAGAACCAAGCAGGAGGAAAGGTGAGAATGCAACTAACACTTACTTCGAGGTTTACGCTGAATTTTAATCAAGTGTCCTGTGCAGCTACATACCAAAAGGCCTTTTTACTGCTTTAACTTTACCTCTTTTTGTATGCAACAGAAAACGCAATGCATCTTTGCAGCCGTTAGGTACTAAACCACACATGGTAAAAGCAGTCAGGGTACTTTGACAGAGCTAGTTAATACTGAAACAGCTCATCCAAGCTGTGCTGCCATCTTGGATGCCATGTCAAGCTGGTGATGACTTAGTAAATACATTCAATCCAGTTATACACTTACTACCACTTCTTGTGCCAAGACTTAATGTGCTTCAGTGCATGAAGGAAATATACAACCAACTCCAGGAATATATATTCCAGCTCTCCATTTCAGTTAAAAAAAAAAATACAGCAGTGATTACATTATAACTTCATAGCAGGTATTTATAACTTAGCTATAAACAAAGGCTGATCTAAAGCTCCGCAGCCTGCTCTCAGGTAGTGTTAACCATTTTTTTTCCAGTATTACAACTACTATCTTTTAAAGACTGCAAGTTAATATAAATTACACCTCTTCTGACATGGTTTCCTCCAAGTGGGAAAGCCAGGAGAACCTTACTGTTACAACTCAATGAAAAACATATTTTGATTCTTAGTCATGATCAAGCAGGTGTAGCTGTTTGCATACAGTGAGATGGACACTGGTGCAGTCTCCTTTTCAAGATTAGTAATTTATGAATGGACAGAACTTTGGTATCTCTTTTAAGTGTAAGTTGTACCTACTGAAGTTGTGTCTGTGGGGGAGGAACAGAAGACAGATGACTTAAATCTATAGAAAAAACCTGAATACTTCTGCAGTGTTAAGGGGATATGCAGGCCAAAGTTTATTCTGATTTGAAATGTCACTTGGCTGCTCTAATTCCACCAAGCCTTGTAACAATCTAGCTTGACAAAGAATCCGGGCCACTGTTGAAACAGCTTTGGCTTGTGACCTCCACATGAACCTATGCTCAGAAATTAGTTCAGCCTGCATGACTGAGTCTACATTGAGGCCTTGTCTCATTAGCAGCTTAATACATACAGCAACTTAACAACGCGGTGTTTTTAGGATGCAGTGATTGAGTAAAGTCATCCTCCTATTTAAGTTATACATCAGTGAAAGCAGACTGTTCTGTATGTATCTTAAATCACAGGAGGCGGCTTGATTTACCAGGCTTTTCATTTTTCTTTTTTTCTTAGCAGAACTTTTCAGAAATAATCTCAGAACGTTGTTTTTGTTCTGATTCCCCAACAGGCAAGAGCCCTCAGCTTCCTGGTCTTTGACACAAGGCAGGACAGAAATCGGTTCCCCTCCTAGGAGGACAGGCAGTCCAACAGCGCTGCCTGCAGTGGGGCAGAGTGCTCTGAGGCAGCTGCTGAAGAATGACAGACAGTTAAAAGCTGAGGGGTTTGTTCAGTGCCTGCGATTCGGTGATGTATCCCTGTGCTTCACTAATGTCTATGAATTCGGCTTCACAACTCCTTTGTGAGGTAGGCAATGACTACTCCCTGTTTTGCAGGGGAAGAAAGTGAGGCACAAGGAGATTAAGTTGCTCTCCTGGGTTCCTACAGGAAGTCAGCAGTAAAGCCGACAATGAATTTAATCCCCTAGTTTAGTCACGGGACAGCCATTCTCTCTGCCTAGATACAGCGGGCACAACATTTTGACACAGCCTTCATTTCTGCAAGCAGTAAACATCCTGGAAGATAGACACAGTTGTAAGTGGTTTCACTTTGCTGTTCTGCATCTCTGAATATTAAAGAATGGTTCAAACTGCAGAGATGTGCTACACAATGGCTAGATCATCTTAGCTAGCACTTCAGGTTCAGTCTACTAGACAGAAGAGGTACAGCAGCGAAGTTCCAATCTAAGTCTCCAGTACAGATTAGAGCCCACTTCTGTTTGCTGTTTCTTTCCTTTCAGGAAGCATGAAATACAATAAATGCTACTAGCACAAAAGAAAGTCAATGAACACAGACTTCCACTATTAATTACAAACATTAGTGCAAACCACACAGCAGATTATTTTTAGCACACTCAGTATTTTCTCTAAGGAGGTCACAAAACTGAGGCTTTCAAGACTGTCAGTGTCATATTCTTAGCCAAGTAGTAAGCTTTGAGCTCACATAATCAACCTAGATTCTGCAGCTACACACTTTATTCTTCATATTTCCATATATGATATAACGTTTTTTAATTTAAAATACTGAAAATATATTCTGTTCTGTGCTTTTATAAAATATAAGCCACTAAAAGTCCATAAAGATCGAATTCCAAAGCTGAATTATGTGTTCAGCTACGAGACTTGCTTAACATAATCTTTATTGCCCAGAAAAGCAATTTTTATTATTTTTAATTTAAGAACCATTTCTCTGTGCGCCTAAAAGCCAACACCTAAATCCATTCCTGATATTCAAATGTGCTTCTCTGCTGTCAAAAGTGAGAGGGCTCAGCTTTTCTTCTCTATCAGCAAGTGCTCAACACTGCTGAAAATCAGTTCTCCCTTTTTATACATATTCAGATGTAGATGTAGGTGCTTGGCTTTACCTGGCTCCTTTCTAGAGTTGTGGCCTTTATGCCTTATGAAGAGAGAAAGCTCAAAAGTTTTAGCTAGTTAAGAATGTGACAGGAATGCTGATCTTCTTGCTCAACATTTATGGCTGGCAAGTCATCTGAAAGGAAAAAAAGATCCTGAAGTCTGAAAAACATGTCACAAAGTATTTTGCTGGGCAAGGCCAATTGAGCGGGTGAATGCTACAGTTAGTAGTCTGTGCTCTGCAGCCACCCCCCTGCTGCAGCTGAATGAATGAAATCGTGATTTGGAAAAGTGCACTTTTTCACTGATTGTTCTTTTACAAGAACAGACACCAGAGCTGAGCACAGCGTATTCTAGAGAAGCTCTCTCCTCAGAGGTTTTCATCCAACCACTTTATATAGCTGTTTCTGGTCTGAATTCCTGCAGAGAAATCAGTAGGCCAAATCGTGAATATCATACAGCCATGAAAGCAGTCATCAAAGTGATCGAGTGTGACTTCCACACCAGCGTTCTCCAGCCGCTTGGCATACATCACCCCGTCATCTCTCAGGACATCGTTCTCACAAGTCAGAATATAAGTCTTAGGCTGCAGCTGCAAAGTCTCATTTTCTGCAAGCAGTGGGACTGCTCGTACGTCAAGCAGCGCTGGTATCTCCTGGATTATTTCTGCATTGCCTGTGGTTTGTACTACAGGCTTGTAGTTCTTTTTGAATGATGAGGGCAGTAGGGATGTCCAATTCAGACGTCCTCTGAAAGTCAGAGCTTGATGCACATCAAGAGCAGTGTGGTTGTTAATCAGCAGTGAGTGAGCCAAGTCATAATTACCATTAAAATAGTCTATCCAGTAGTTAATCATGACATAACGAGGAAGAACGGGCATATTCATGTTCTGCTGATATGAAGGTGTATTGAAGTCAAATGCCTGAAGGACTGGGTAAATTAATGCCTGCAGTTTTGGTCTGATGATCAAATGCTCATCTTTGCTAAGCTGTGGGAAGAACGGGAAAGAATTGTGATTATAAAGAAAATAAACATTACAATATCAACCTTGAACTTCACACGAACAACCACTTGATAATTTTTAGACAAGATTCTGCTCTTATGCAATTCCACTGGCAGATAAAGCTCTTGTTTTGTCTGAAATGCTAGCAGCCTGATCTTTTTCTTTTCTTATAATAATGATCACTCAGGACAGTTCCAGTATCCTGTTTCCAGAAATCAGTAGCAGATATAAAAAACAATGTTAAATTATTCTTCTAATACACTTTCCCAGTTAAACTATTTACAGCTGAAGGACTTACTGAGTCAATGGAGCTATCTAAACTTCTAATAGCTTTTCAAGAATTTTTCTTCCATCAATTTATCTAAATTATCTTTTTTAGCTCTTGCAAACTGCTGGCATCTGGTTTTCTCTAGCAAAGGCTTACTGTGTGCAGTAGAGCCTCTGTGTTGGACTAGAACCTACCATCTGCATTTGATTTGAGCCTACAAAGTAAAGTTTTGGTACACCCTCATTCCTTTTAGTGGAAGTATCAGCAGACGCTTTTTTTCCTTCACCTTCTACTCAAGATACATAAATCTATATTGTATCTCATCTTGTCTCTTTCAGGCTCAAGAACCTCAGTGTATTTAACCTCTGCTGACACAATCTTACATCACTGATTTAAAAAGAATTCAGCATCATGGAAATGAATTATGAATGCTGTTTCCAAAACACAGCTCCATCCTGCTGATCAATCCCCAAGACAAAGACTTTCAGTGCCTTATTAATTTTTCCTCGCTAATTCAATACTGCAAGATTGTCATGATAATTAGTTGTCTGAGCAAGGTTGTCATGATAATTAGTTGCCTGAGCAGGCTATGTACCTTCTTATCACCAATGGTTTATGGCAATACAGAAAAACTAATAATATTTCACTCAACCATGACTATTACTTGCCCCAGGCAAGTCTTTAAAGTCTTTAATAGATTAAATTCAGATTATGCTTAACCAGAGATGCACAAAAGAAAATTTCTTAATTATGAAATGCTGCAGGAAGACAATTTAAGGCTTCATGTATTATATATTTATTGTCCTTCATTTGTATTTGGAGGAAGTAAGAACATATTTTTCTGTGATAAGCACTTGAAAATAGGAAGATAAATTAATAAGTTATGAATGTAGCTAGTTACCTACTTAGGCAAAGTTTCTCAGCAAAACGTGTTACAAGAAATCGTTTAGCTGCTTGTGCTTAAAATTTGGCCCATAAGAACTCATAACTGCACTAAGATATGGCAAGCTACTTGACTCATGCAATTGACTCATTTTTCTTCTGTAAAATGACAAGATCTGGTTTTCAATGCATAGAGGTACTACTCTGTCTCTGACACTGGCACATCACCTTGTGATGATGCAGCACAAAGAACCTGTCAACCTATATGCATCACTGAATTAGGGGCTGTTATAGTGTAATTCATCACAGACACTGGATGTTACCTGCTGACACACAGCAGCAGCCAAATTTCCTCCTGCGCTGTCGCCAGAAATTGCAATTCGATTTGGGTCAACTGAATAGTCAGCTAAGACACCAGGCTGCAAAAAATGCTTTGTAGCACGAAGAGCATCGTGGAATTGCTCAGGAAAGCACACCTCTGGTACCAGCCTGTATCTACAAAAGAAGAAGGGAGGTAAGAGACAATTATTAGTTACTATACTTCTCTCTTCTGATCAATAAATGCTAGCAGATACATCTTAGTGGCAAATGGCTATTTTATTAGGATAAATACTAGAGAAGAATAATGAAGTGTGTAATACTTAAGCTTATAATGAACATTCTTACTCGAAAAGGTTTGTAAGGACCTATTAGATATGAAGAACACCACAATGGTACAATACTGTGCAGTGCTTTCCCAACAAAGGATTTCATCATACATTATAAAAGTGAATTACTATTAAAAACATCCTTGGCAAGGGAGTTATTCCTGTTGGCCTGTTTTTGATCTCAGCTCCCCACCTTAACTGCTGTGAAGGAGAGTGACACCCAGCAGACTCAGCTGAAACGAACACCTCAGTAGTTCTGTTTCCCAAATGTTTATTTAAGCTCAGGAGAGCTGTACCTCTGTACCAGGAAATTAACAGTAGCCAGGAAGTGAAGTAATAATGATTTGCACTAATCCAACAGACTCAATAATTATTCTCCCTTATTAAGGAGAGAGGCAGGGATATATGCAATATCCAAGTGGAGCAGCAGCAGCTGAAACCTGTTTACTGCATTTTCTGAATTCCTTAGTCACAGTGTAGGGGAAGTCAGTTTGTGAATCATTTGTAGTCTGAGAGTTGTTACTGGGCCTTATGGTGCAAAGCACATCTTTCTGGTTGCAGTTTTTCTATCTTTAATGAATTTTACATATTCTCAGTAGAGCTAATTTATAATGTTTTGAGAAAATATTTCTATTGTCAGTTTGACAGAAGTTAATGTCATTACAGTGATGTCTTTCAGTTCAAAGTGAAGAAATAATCTTGCCGTTACTTCTGAAGCAAAACAAAATGTTGTTTCTTGGTTCAAAGTATTTTCTTGGGAATCTAAGCTAAAAAATATAGTATATGCAAAATGAATTTTAAGCTTAATTTACATCAAGTGTTCCAAACATCAAATCTGTTCCGCTTTCAGTGAACAACATATATTACATCTGCTACAAAGTCATACGAGAGCAGCCTGAGTAAAGTAGGCCTTGCAGAACTAGGTGATGTTTTGTATAGATAACAAAAGTGAGATGTGCAGCTCAACCAATGAAGAAAATCTAATTAGACTTCACTAACTGAAAACAAATGCCTTGATTGAAAGATATAATGGCTAAGGAGAGATGACAAACAACTGAGGAACAGCCAGTACTATATCACCCTAAGTGAGAAAATGAGTAACTAGGGACTTTCCAATACTGTGATTGGTACTTGCCTGCTTTTTTCCTTTTTATTTTTTTTCTACTAATAAACAACAAAGAAGTAAAAGAGTGAACCCTTAAAGTACACTACAATGCCTACTGAGAATCAGTAACACCAACTCCATATAATTAAATTGTAATTAGATCACAGAGCTTGATATGTAATCAACTGCAAGTCGGAGCCGTTGAGTAGTTCTATCAAGTGATTGGTTTTGCAAAAGAAAATATCGAAGTTGACAATAAGGGTGGGAAGAGTGCCACTCAAGTTGGAGTCATCTTGGTAATTTAGTTAGCGAGCTGAGAGGCTTGTTTACTTTGGAATTGTTCAGCTAGTGAAAAAACCAGTGCTGCTTCTCTGTTGTCTAGCACACTGGCATTCTCCTGCTCTTGAGAGGAGTGCAGGGCTGAAATGAGTTGACTTCAACAGCGGGAGCTTGAGAGAACAGCAGGAACTGCCATGCTTCACTGTGTATTTTGGTTAATGAGCAGTAAAAAGTGATTTGCTAATTCTTAAGTTGCAGACACTTGCTCAGTGCGCCTTAGAAGTGGTGTTTTTTAGACAGACTTTAGGTGTTTGGTTTTTTATTTATAATATACCTTTATCTCTTTTGCTCCATAGGGAGTCAGAGGGATGTGGTTTGGCCTTCTTTCAGGTATATAACAAAATTGTTTTTGACAAGCATCAACAGAATTAAAACTTAAGTCAACTGAGTGATCTCAGGTTTTAGGTGCACTCCTTACTTGCAGAAACATTTGTGAGATGCACTCAAACGTGTAAAATTTGCATTTCAGTGTTTTGTCCAAGCGATTAAAAATTCTACTCTTCTCCCACATTTCTGCCCTCTGAAGTGACTGTCAAGAGAAACAGAAATCCAACTGAACTTTTGATTCCATTCTAATTTGTTATTCTAAAAGGATAATAAAATCAGACTGGTAGAGAATTACTGTCCAAGTTTAAAGCCTTATATACAAGTCAGTAACAAGCGAAAAGGGCAAAGCTAGAATAACTACGTTACGTATTCCCAATACATTACAATTACGTAATTAATTTTAGATTACTCACTCAATTGAGACAACTACAGCATTGAGAGATTCAGCCATGATTCTGCAGAGGTTGTTATAAAGGCTCGTTCCTGAAACAAAAGGACATAGCATTAGGTACATGCAAGTCCATTTATGGCAGTATTTCACAAAGCTGCACCTAACTGTCTTAGTTTCAGCAGGGATGGAGTTGTTTCCTTCAGGGTGTCTGGTATGGTGCTATGGTTTTTGGTTCTAGGAAAAAAAACAAATGTTGACAACACAGCAATGCTTATAGTTGCTGCTAAGCAGTGCTCTACAGAGCCAAGGACATTTTCAGTGAAGGGCCCAAGGAGCTGGGAGGGAACTGAATTAGGACAGCTGACTTAAAGTGGCCAAAGTGCCATCCCACCCCTCACAGCACTGTGAGGAAGGAGTTTTGAATGGCTGGGAGGTCATCTCTCTTCCACTGCTCACAGGCTAGCTGGGGGCACTGGTTGGTGGCTGGTAAGCAATTGCTTGTGCTTCATTTGTTACATGCATTTATAAATATGTGTTTATATACATATAAAAATTATTATCCTTTTCTCTATCTTAGTAAATAATTTTATCTTAACCCCTAAGTTCTACTTTTTTTTTTTTTTTTTTAATTCTCTCCCCCATCCCACTGGGAGAGGAGAGTGAGTGAAGGACTGTGTGGTGGTGTGGTGCTCAGGCAGCCGCCGGGTTAAACCACAACAGAAAGCCTTCTCAGAAAACATAAAGACTTCTAACAAACAGAAGTAAATTACATCAGCTTAAACCAGATGATGTTCCAAATGTACGTTTTAGCAGAAGGCACACAATTCACTCCATGAGAAGTCCTGCAGTCTGATGGTTTTTTTCCCCTCATCTGTTTGTTGGTGACTTGGGGCTTGTCATTTCACCCATCAGTTCTCACAACAGGACAAAATTCAAGGTACCTGGTGGCCTGGGGCCACTGCATCCGGAAACAGTTGTTACCATATGAGTCACTGATTTTTGTTCATTTTATTGCAGCGTGTATTGCTTTGATTCAAATGAGCTGCCCTACTAATGTCAAGTGAACTACGTGAACTACTTATTTATCAGAGAATTAATCCTGTCTGTCAGTGGACTGATTTTCCTTAATTTTATTTCTTTCCAATTTCTTAATCATGGATTCCTGGTACTATAAAATATACTAGGACACTAAGTGTTTTATAAAGTATTTAGCCTTAGAATTTAGTATTTAGCTGTAACATTTATGCCATTAATTTCTGAATTTTGGACTTGAGGATAGCTGAGTTACAGCATCCAAACAAAGCATTGTAATTTAATATAAACTATTTGTACAGCAAGTCTTATGCCAACTGTTACAGAACAAATTATATGGGCAGGACTCTAACAAATATCCCTTATGTAGGCCTAAGAAAAAATCATTTCAAAGCTCAATTTCTCTGTGAGAAGAGGAGTGAACAGATTTTGAAGTTATTTAGAACACTAAATTTCACTTAAGTTGTGGTATAGGTGGCTTATAAATACAGTCTTAATGCAATCAGTACAATCTCTTGCATATTTTAGAACACTTCAGAAAAGCCCACTGAATTTTTTCCTCTTTACAGATCAATCTATGTATGCTTCACAATGCATCAGGGTTGTGAGGCCTTCATGTTGTCCCAGGAGCAATAGGGAAGGACAAAGACTCCTACCTGTTCTTGATCTTTGCCTCGGAGCAGCTGTGAGAACTGCAGGCCCCTATTTTTTCCAAGGCTTTTCTCCTGCTTTGAGATGTGGAAGGATCTGTGCTTAGCTTATTGTTGCCTACAGCTGTACCTTACTACAATTAACTTGGAAGTCACAAACATCAGAGAAAGTCGGTGCTGTAAATTTTCAAGGTAGTTTCTGCTCATGATCACAGTAGATTCCATAAGAGAGGGAGTAGGGAACCCATCTCTACGCATATCCTTGGTCATGCTGTTTTCTGGGATCAGCAGTATGTATTCCCAAATACACACTATTGGAAGCCAAACATTAGTAATGCCCTTGCATGTAATTTTGTTCAGTCCACTCTTTTGAGTAATTGTTTGTTTTGTATATTGTGTAATTTGTCCTGTCGTGATGTTACAAAATTAATCTATTGGTTCTTTTCCAGTGCACCCATTGTATATTTTTATCATGATTCCTTACATCTGCTGTGCCAGAATGCAGATGGTGACTACAGAATTCAGGTATGTCTCTGCAAAATCATCATCTCCTGGCAGAAAAACAGCCTTTGGTTTCTGCTGCTGGGAGGAAACCACCCCAGAATCCCATTTAGTTACCAGCAGACACGTACTTGCACTTGCCAAGGCCCAGCCACCTCCGTGGATGTAAACAACACTGCGCTTCAGCGGTTCATCTTGCTTTGCAGGAGGTTCAAACACTCTGACTTCCACACCATCAAAAACAACATCCGTTATGTTAATGGGCTCAGAAGAGACAGACTTCAGCTTGTCAAATGTACAAATCAAATAATTCAGAACTATCAAGTGATGGCTGAGTCTCAGATAGTGAATCAAGTGACACTTTGGGGGGGGAAAAAGAAAAAGGTTAGTTACTTCATATATATATATATATATATATATATAAAATGATGCTGCACTGATGCAACCATCTTCAAAAGGCAGCTTCTGTATGAAAACATATCTAAATTCTTAGCATATTCATCAGAAAATGAATGATTATCAAAACTTGTAATGTTTTTAAAGCTGTATTAGAACAAAACCCTGGCAACAAAAGACGTTCCTGCTGCTGAATGACACCTCTGAAAGGGACAAACCTGACTGACCAGCAGATTCCACTTTTCTACTTGCAAAGCTTCTCAGATCGGTGCCAGTAGAGGGCAATACCACACAGTCAACATTTTTTGTGGTGGTGAGGTAGGAAATATGCAAACTATTTCTCTTATTCCACCCCAAAGCGTAAGTCTTTCCATTTCCAAATTAAGTTCTCAGCGATTGCAAAGGCATCTGCAAACAGGAACAGTCTCAAAGGAATGCAGCGCTTATTTACTGGCTCACCCTGTATTTGCCCACTGAATTGGAAAAGATGTGAAATGCTATTGAAGAGCTGTGGCAGATTTGTGATTTCTTCCCCAGAGACTCAAGCGTGTTACTTCTTCTGTGTGGGTGTGTAAAACGTTAAGAAAATAAAGAAAGATCTCAACTCTCTGTCCCATTCCGGTAGAAGGATGGATTTTATCCCTTCTGAAAATCCAGGATTTTCTTTTTCACTTTCCCCTAAACAAACCTGTTTCTCTAAGCAGATAATCCTGGGATCTAAGGCACTCCTTCAGCCTAAATGCTCATGACCTGCTCCCCATGTACAGCTTGTAAACCCATAACCACTTCAACTGTTTCAATTCTGCTGTTATCACCAGTACAGTGCAAGCCTGCTAGTATTAATTAAACAAGTTCAGTACCAGGAGAGGGAGAGAATGGTTATTCAGGTACCAGTCTAACAGCATTAATACTGCAAAGAACACATAGTTGCTGTAGTATAATCTGTACAAAAACTACGTGGAAGCAAAGTGAGTTTCTGTGTGATAAATGTGATTTTCCAAGTGAGAGTTTTACAGTCTCTTTCTGACTTACACATTCACAAGGAGAGATATTTCATTTTCTTTCTTTGATTTTCTTTACTATGCTTCTGCACTACCATTTTCCAGTTACTTTCAGTGCAGTATCTCTGTTAGGGAATTCTTCTCAAAGAGAAGAGACAGCTAACAGAGGAACACCACTGCTGTCAACACATCCTCCAGAGGAAAAGCAAATTTTGAAGCACCTCCTATCAACTGAGAGACTTCATCCATTCAGCAATATTTATGCCAAAAAGGATCTGCTTCCTTGGTGGAGTGCTCTGCAGCCACTGTCCTTACACATGGCTTTTAAATCCACTATGGTTAGTTTAAATTAAACAAACAAACGCCTATGACTCAGCTTTCAGTAGATGCTGTGTGAAAAAGACCCTGAGGCAGCCCCAGTTCTACTGCAGATTCCTGTGGAAAGCAACAGACTGAGATTTTTCCCAAAAGGGTCTCTGACTGCCAAGTCCAATGGAGTGGTAACGTGAGTAATGTGGTGTAATGCAAGTGGAGAGAGAGAAACCCATTTCCAAAACAAAAATTTACAGAAGTTACTTTCTTTTCCTGCTTGGCTTGGTTACCCTATTGAAATAGTATGGTGAGAAACCAAATCTTGGTATGTTTGCTGCTTTGTTGATGGATTATCATTTCTGCATACTTAAGGTCTTTCCTCTGGGAGTAAAAAAAAACAAGCATCCACCCAGTGGGCAGAAATGTTGAATTCACAAGACTATATTTTTGAATGTCAGATCATGCTTTTCCCCACACTGTTACTTAAAAATTTCCATAGGAAAACACCATTCAAGCTTCAAACTTGAAGAGCAATACACCTATTAATAAGTTGCCATTCAATTTATTGGGCTGCCACTGATTCACCCAGCAAAATGATCTTCTACGTGCCCCATAGAGGTTCCCAGGGGAGGTAACTAATGGGAAATACTGCCAGGCAAAAAAAATAATTCTTGTAGATTTTTTTCAGACCAACTGTGCTGCTAAAGGCTATTTATCCACATTCTTTGTAGACAGGATTACCACATGTTCCCTGGAATCAGAGATGTTTTCTTTTCAAGGTTAGTTGCAGCTGTTTACTGAGAAGTGTTTTGCCCTGTTTTTTTTAAACCACAGAACACCATGGCCCTCTGCAGGTTCATCAGTTGCTTTCATGCCTTTTTCCTGCAATAGGCCACTCTTTCCACGAACCAAAAAAAAATAAATAAAATTGAATAACATGGAAGAGATGCCTCGTACACCAAGGCACAAAAGGAACAGTAATAGTTCTTTTACGTTTACCTTGTCAGGTTTCTCTGCCCAGGACTTATAAGCACATTCTTTGGAAATGTATCTTATCAGTCAATTTGGTTGTTATTTACAACAGTCAGGATTGTGCTTTTTGCTGGCAGAGCTAGCCTTGTCTAGAGTTCCTACAAACAAAATTCTTATGTAAGATATATCCATAGTACCTTGTGTGTATATTTGTATTTAATGGTTGGCTGAATCTCATCTAGGACTGTGTTGCAGCCACAGAGTCATAGAATCACAGAATATCTTGAGTTGGAAGAGACCCATAAGGATCACTGACTCCAACTCCTGGCTCCAGACAGGATCACCTCAAATTCTAACCACATAAACACTTTCATTTTCTAAACAGGTAACCTGAAGAAATGTGGCTGGTAAGCTTCATGAGGATGACTAATGGAGCTGAACTTGAGCTGATGCACCCAGTGAGCTTAGCTGCTATGGAGCAGGACAGACCTGCATGGGCAGGAGGACGAGCAGGGCAAATGTGAGTACCTTACTGGTGTTTGGGCCAGTTCAGCAAATAGCCACTGTACACACATTACTTACTTGCAATCTATCACCCAGTTCTGATTGCAGCTTTTCATTTTAGGATTGTTGTCGCTCTAATCTATGGCTGTTTTGGTACAGGTGTGATTTATGCTCATTGTTGCACATGTCAACTCTCCAACAAATCCAAGTAACTTCCACAGCAACCATCTTCTCTTTTTACCAGGATATCTTCCTAGCCAGGATTATGAGAAATGACAACCCAAAAAACTAAGCTGTTTAAGATCGCAACTGTCATCTTCCTAGCAAATTCTTTGATGAGAGATATCAAATAGTGAGAGATGTTTTAACTTCATGCAGGAGAAAACTGTCAAGAAGTGAAGGAGGAGTTAGGGTTGTGATTAAAAACAAAACAAAAAAACCTCAAAAAACAGTTTTCAAGAAAGGCACCAAAATCTCAGTATCTGCCCCTAAACTGGTAGAACTGGTGGTTCGTCAGGGTCGCTTGGAATCCCAAGAGATCACTGTGATTATGCTTTACCCCTCTTTCACATACTTGTACTCTATGTCAGTCATGTACTTTCTATTACCAAAAAAAAAACCCACAAAAAAAAACAACAAAAAAAACGAAACAGAAAAGGTGCATTTCTGTTGCTAATTTCAAGTTTCTAATAATCTCAAACAACAGTGAGCACATCAGGATTGAGGTGACACTGTCCTAAGGGCAACGTGAGCTATCCAACTTCACAAATCTCTGACCTTTAGCCTTGAAATTACAGCAGCAGGTTGCATTCAGATGGCACACAAAGGCAGCATGCCAAGCTGAATACATCAGCTGCTTCCTTCACTGCCCTCGCAGCAGTGAGGTGCCAGGTTCTGCTCTGACCTTAGCTGAGATCAGGAACTGGGAGTTAGCTTGTGCTGTTTGTCTTTTCACACGAGTCACTGTTCAGCACTGAGCCAAGTCTCATGTGTGACTCACCGAGTAATGATGCTGACACTGGGCGGCTGAACCTCTTAAGACTTAATTTCCTACCTTCAGAAGATGCTGCTGCTCCTGAATGACATTATCCTCAGTTCAGGCGTCATTTTGCAAAACACACTGCTGTAACATTACAGTCCAAAATGCCAACTACAGTATCTGTAGACAGTGAGAGACTAGCAAAAAAACCCAAACAGGCTCATTTCCCCATCTTGCTGCGTGCAGAACATATTGGTCTGACTGCATTTCAGGAAGCTTATCCCATCTAAAGGTTAACCTCTATTTTCTTTCATTTTACAGAGCCATTTCTTAGAACAGGTGCATTACTGCACAGTACCCAACATGTACTTTTGAAAACTGTTATACAGGGAGTCCTCAAGGACTCAAAGATAAGTGCTCTAATTTCCTTTATAACTGGAAGGAAACCAAAAAGGGTGTTTTACAGTTTATCAACTGGGAGAAGCTCTACTATTTTTTCATTGCAAAGTTTCATTCTTGCATCTATTCATCCACGATGAACTGCTTTTAGACCAAATTGCCAGTAACTTTTTTCTCTACTGCAAACAGGACTTGCAGTGTATCTGTTCCTACTCATATGCAACATCTAAGACCACAGTGGATTACTGTAAACCAATTTGCAAGACTGTGTCCTTACATGCAAAAATATCAGCTTACTTGGATGGCCTCAGCTATGATTTACATCTCTCCATATATGGGTAGGTAGATTAAATATTAAAATGTTAGATGGAACTAATTACTGTTTACTCTACTCCTGAATGTTGATGCCCCATGCCCTAGATTTTATTCTAAAAGGAAGCAAGTGGCAGAGCAGCATAAAAGCATTTCTTAGCTGATGAGAAGTACAAGCATACTTTTCTCCCCTCTACAGCTGCCTATATTTTTCCACAGATGCCTGCCTGATAGCTTGGATGCCAACATGTTTGTCCTTCCAAACCTGTTAGCAGCAGTGCCAGTTAAAAAATATATTAAAAAGAAATAATAAAAAAAATCCTTTCTTCCTTTCTAGGCATCAGAATATCAAGTACCTTGATAGTGTGGCTCAGAAATAACTTAGGGCTTATTAAATAAATATATGCTGCTCTCTCTACTCCAAGAAGGGAGAATGGTAATGAAAAGGAGAGATGTCTCTATCAATCCTGCTGTTAACAGCATAATTATGAAATGTTGCTTTAGGCCCTTCTTGACAGATACCATGTAAAACAATTCTGATGGTTTAATTTATTGCTCAGTCCTGTAATTTTGAGTAGCTTTCTGTGGCTGTCCAAATTTCAGTGAAGCTGAGTTCTGACAGTCTTACATACATGTGTTCACTGTCTTTCAGTTCTGACCAAAAGCTTCTGTGTAACAGTGCAGTTTTCTATACAACTGTGGCCAAGTCCCATTTTGAGACAGATGAGAATGATTATTCTCATTCTAAGCTAATGCACCACTTTGTTAATAACACGAGGCTGAAGATTCTGATTTCATTCTGAAAGCAGCACAGCATACTACGCTCAGCACAGGAATAGGGCTCTGAACATCCAGCTCTGGTGTTTGCAGAGACCTCAAATAAGGCACTCTGCATTTCCCCAAAGTAAGATTAGGACAATGGCACCAGCTTCCTTTTGTAATATGTTGTGAAACCTACTTATGAACACTGCCCTATAAGCATTGTGCATTTTTAGCCACGTGACAATACATAAACACTTGGGTTTTGCTCTGATTCAGAGCACTGAGTCAGTCCCAAGCCTGTAAAGGAATTTTATTAGCTGCCTGAGACAAAACTCTACACAGAAATGCAGCACCTTATAATCAGTACACTGAAAAGCAGTGCCAGCTTCAGTATGTTTTATTGGTAGTGAAAAAAGGAGTGAGAAACCAAGCACATTATCCCAAACAAGAACTTGTCATGCTCGATTGTCAGAATCAGCACAAATCTATTTCAGAATAGGGAAACAACTGTATTTAGAGCACATAAAGTTTGTTTCATGCTTTGGAATGAGGGATTTTAGTGTACTTTGGAGGTTTTAAAATAAAAATCACTTAGTAACGTACTTCTGTCTGGCTATCAAACCTACAAAGGAAAGTCATAAATAGCAAGCTGAGAATACATTCAGAAGTAGGTGAAAGTTCAATGGTCACATTTAGAGCATCGTTAAATCACTTGGTCTCGCAACCTCCGGTAGACAAAGAAAAGGGAAGCTCAGCTCTACAGAAGGACATATACTTGATTTTATATACACACACTAAAGCTGTCTACCACAGTAAGTACTCAGGCTTAACTTCTACAATCTTAGCTTCAGTTCACACAGATCATTCTTAATGGCAGTCACTTACTGCTGACTTTGTGCAACCTCTCAGTGTTGGAAAGACTTCTAAACACTTAGATAGCACCTCATTTTGCTCTCTCTGGAAAGAAAACCCCAAAGTTTACCTGTTCTGTGGTTCGGGGCACCGCTAATGCCTCACTGATGCTTTATGCATCTGTCTGAAAGCCACTCAGTCCTTGTGCTTTGTAAGCTGCCTGTGGCTGATATTTAATAATTTTTCCTTGCTATATGTAATCATTTCTAAGGCCACAGATGGAGGCAGATGTGGGCACCTCAGTGCTGCCAGTTTGCTCCAGCTGCCACCAGGGCAGGTTGTGTTCTGCCAGCTCCTCTGGGAGGAAGGCCTCTGGGATACCCCAGAAGGGATGGGATTGCCTTTGCCCTCCAACCTAGAGACATTGAGACTCATTCAGCTATGCTTTGCAAACCACAAGCAAACAGCATGTGTACGTATGCCAACAGCAGTATACATATATAGAGTTAGTCATATGATTTTCTAAAGATAGGTCTCCTTCAGCTAGAGGTTATGGACTTGATTCAGGTGTTCCTGGAAGAAAGGTTACCACGTATTCTGCAGGCAGGACGCTGTGACCATCACAGCCCTTCCAATTATTAAACTTCCAGCTCCACTGTAAAGGAATGTGTTGTTATTTTAGTTACCAGCACAAAGCAAGTGCATGTCAAGCCACAGCTTTTTAAAGGAAAACATGGCTGTTGTAGGCTATGTCTACACGATTTACCTGTCATAGCAGTATCATTTCTTTAAGGGAGAGTATATAAGCAAAAAGCTTTTATTCTTTCACATCCCACTGGCTCAGCTGAGTGGCCTATTGAAAATCAAATAATCATCTGAGTTGGAAAGGACCTTTAAAGGTCATCTAGTCCAACAACCCTGTGATGAACAGGGACATCTAAAGTTCGATTCTACATCTAGTCCCAACTCTGACTGCAAAAGTGGCAGCCAGAGAAGCTATTCAGGGAGAGTATGCAAGCCCGGACACTGTCATCCTGCTTCCGCAATTACTGTTAGGTATATAGAAGATACCTTCCCACCAAGTCCTCCTGGTATCTGTTTATGAGCCCTCTGCCTATGAATTCATTCTTTCTGAATCTGCTGATGCTCTCAACATGCAAGCTGTTGAAGGTTTTAGGGACAACATAACGAACTGGAATGCTGCTAGTAAAAAAGACTGAAATACTTTGACACAGACAGTACCCTAAATCAGGAGTGACCACAGCTGATCAGTCCTTGTCAAAGATCAGACCAGCCTAGCAGAAAACCAAGCTCATAGCTGAAGCCATCATCAGAAGCCCGTGATCTCTTTCTTTCATGCCAGCACACACATTGTGAGAGAAAGTGAGGGAGAGATCATAAAGCAACAAAACAATCATGTCGTATAGAAAAAACAGCTATTCTGAAAGGGTTTTGTTGACTAATACAGTTTCAAACACAGGCCGCGTGATTTCGACATTTGAAATAGTTTTCCAATGTCTTCTTTCCTTAAGGCATCAGTTAGCACATGGAAGTAGAAGCCATTAATTATTTTGACCTAAAGCCCCCGGGTCGGAAAACAGCTTGCAGCACACAGGAAGCCCTCCATCACAAAGCCAGCAGGGCGGCTGGATGCCAGCAGTGAACGATCGCCGGCCTCGCCCCCTGCGCGGCCGGCGGACGCGGCAGCGAGCTCTCCTCCCGGGCAGGCCGGGTACCGCAGCACGGCCCGCGATGCCGGCGACGGGCTCTGACGGCGTTTCCTTACCGTCTGCTGCACCGCCCGGAAAGTGGCATCCAGCAGCATCAGCTTCCACGAGTCCGACACGGTGCCGGGCAGCGGCAGGTAGATGTAATAGGCGGCCAGGGCGCCCAGCGCCGCCAGCAGCACCCAGGCGGCCCGCATCGCCCCGCGGGGAGCGGCCTCCACCGGAGGAAGTCCCGGCGCTTCCGCGCCCGCCGCCCCGAGCCGCCGCCTGCGTGTGCGGGAGCGCGGGGTGGCGGCGGGGCCTTTCTCCGCGCCCGCGCAGCCGCCGCCCCGCCCGAGACCCGCCCGCCCTCTGGGGAGGCCGCGCCGCGGAGCTCCGCTGCCCGGGGCCGCCCCGCCGCATCCCCGCCCCGAGCTCCGGCCGTGCTCCGCGGGACCGCGGCGGGACCGGCCGCGCACGATGTCTTTGTCGGGGAGCACCTGTATTTTAGGCAGGAGAAACGGAGCCTGCGTTTTTAAACGGAGACGGATTTATTATGATGATTTATGTAATTTTATTTTGAAGTGGGATTTTTTTCTTCCCGAGTTCAGTAACAGATTCTGGTTTAACGCAGAGCCATTTGTAGGGAAGACAAATTCTTCTGAATGGGTCTTTTTCACCCCCGTAAGTGCTTTCATGTCAGGTACGAATCCTCGTGTTGCACCGTGCAGGAAACAAATTCTACAGAATTCAGTCTGGGCGTTAATTAAATGCCTATTTGAAGCTTAGTCATAGAGCAAATGTAAATATTTATTTAGATAACCAAAGTCATGCATGTTATGACTGTAATCCAAAGAAGGAGCATCAGTTTTAACTGTTAACATTGCTTTTAAAAACTAATTTGTAACACTAAAAAGCCACTTGGGAATTTAATAGGGCTCAGGAAAGGATGAGCTTCCTTGAACAACTGACAAGAAGCAGCAATAAAGGAAAAAGATGTTCCTAAAAAGTAAAAGGTCAGCTTGTAGGCCAGCTTTACTGAAACTAAAGTAGAGCGTCACCGATTCTAAATGCAGCAGAAAAAACTTTTTGGAATTTGTAAGGAAGAATCTCAAATATCCTTCAACTTCAACAACAGTGGATTGAATTTCTATAAGGTCCACCTACCGTTTTAAGTAAACTGCAGATAAGAGAGGGCTGTTAGGAAAACAACTGTGCCCAGAAAGCAGTGTGAGATTCCTGAGGTCTCAAGGCTCTGAGCCGTTCTTTTCAGTACTGTGCAGTGCTCACACTTACATCTCTTGTCTTTCTCCCCTGCTTGGCATACTCCCATTCCCTTTCTTTCTAGGACATCTGTCCCCTCAGCTCTGCATCCAAGACCCTTGAACAGCCTTTGTCAAACCTATGTCTTGCCCTCCTTTCTTGTCTACTTACCTATTAGAAAACAGGTTTTTGTGTTTCTCATGCTCCAAGATGTGTGTGACCCCCACACATCTCCCTCCTCTCTCACTTTTTGGAAACTATTGCTCTTGCTAGATAGAACAAATATATCCAGTGGAATTTATGTTCATGGCAGTTAGTTGAAAACATAGAACGCTTTAGTCTGAGAAAGATTCCTTTCTTTAAAAACAATGGCAAAAATGAAATAAATTCCAACCGAAATCCAACTGCTTACAATTTTTCTAGTGGATGGGCAGTCTGTCTATATAAACTCACACCCTGAAGCCAAGAACCAGCAAGAGCTCACCAAGAAACCCAAACAATTGCAGCACACCCAGCTCACAACAACACAGGGCACTGATGTTCCCTTCAGGCCTCTTGGCGTTACAACAGCTTTTCTCTTGTGGTTGCATGGCTTCTTCCAGAAGGTGTTACATCACTGCTCCCATGGAGATTATGTGATCAGACTCAGTGAGTGATTTAATCTCCTGGAATTTTCTTCCTGTGAGTTTTATTGCAAGGAGAGACTCTTGAATAAACTATTGAATAAATGTTGTATTCATGGGTTATTGATGTCTAGATAACTGGAAGGAACAGCAAGTTTCAGCTGCTCACTACATTCTGCGCAACCAAAAAAAACAAAAAAGAAGGTGCTTGTATTTTAGAGCCTTTTATAAAGAAAAGCACTGAGATTTCTAAACGTCAGATGTAGAAGGCATAGTAATTATTTGGTCATCAGGTCTGATCTCAGCTTTGGTGAGAATAAAAGTGTTTTATTAAAATAATTCTTGACTACTCTTCTTAAGTGATTGCCACCAAAAATTTGGCTCTTGGTCCCAGGAAGGATGGCTTAAGAGGTTCAATTAGAATGCTCTTGTTGCTTTATGAGATTGTGACTTTAGATTTTCAAACATGTTCAAAAAATAGGTCCATCCATCCGCTGTTCACATGAACTGGGAGATGTTATTAATCTGCTGAAGGTTTACACTTCCATTCTGTTGCCTTCAAGGTGTCAGAAAGCCCTCAGCTTTGGCTATAACTCATTGCTGTGATTGCTGTGTATGAAATACGGTCGCTGGACGACTAATGGTTGACTGAAATGTCAAAACTGAAACGACTGCCCTGATGTCTGAAATCTCGTCCTCGAGAAAATAATCCTCGCTTACATACACTTCACCAGCAAACCTTCAGTCGCATAAGCAACACCTGCTATCATCGTATCCGCTTTTCCCTATTTTTCATGATGGACAACATCATTATTTGTCATCTCATTCACGGAGCCCAAAGGTGTTTTGGGGAGAGGCCGGGCGGCGCCCTGAGACATCGCCTGGCGATACGGGAGGGGCGGCAGCGACCGAGGAGCCTCAGCGCGGCCCCGGCCCTGCGACCGTTGGAACAGTTCGAAACGCCCCTGCAGCCAATCAGCGCGCAGCACGCCCCGCCCAGTCAGCAACCTGCTCTCGGGTACGTCAGAAGGGGGTGGGGCGCTCCAGCGGCCCAATGAGAAGGCGGATTATAGAACAGAAATGTGACGGGCAGCCAATGGGCGGCGCGCTTAGTGCGGCGGCTCGCTTTTTGAATCGGTGACGGCGGCTGATGGTGGCGGTGGTTGTTGCGGTCGGTGGCAGGTGGCGGTGAGAGGGAGCCGGGCGGGTCGGGGCAGCGCGGAGCCATGCGGCCGGGTCGGGGCTAAGCCGAGCCCGAAGAGGGCGGCTCCGTGTGCGGGCAGCATGGGGCCGTGCCGCGTAGGAAGGCCCGAGGTCGCCCGTGGGGCGGCGGCCCGGCCTGCTGGCACCTGGCGGCCCGTGAGCGCTGCGGCAGCTGGGCGTCACCCCGCCTGCAGAGCGTGCCTGCTTTAGAGAGCTCGGTGACAGCGCCTCCTTTAAGCCTTGTTCCAGGGGTTGGATATCTTGTGATGTTCAGGTTTTCCCCAGAGCGCAGGGAGATCGTTTATAAGCGTTTTTAGGTTCCCTCTTATGTAGGGGGAAGCTGCTGTGTACACGTCTTGTGTGTGTGCTGTTTGTTCTGTGCCTTGGCACTGCCACGTGTGGCTCTGGCAACTAGGTTTGCTGTGTTTTTGGCTAATCTGGGTTGTTATAACAGTGTTTGAAGCATCCAAAGTGAAAGCACGTGAATAAACTAGGAAAACCTAGAAAATCAGTGCCCAACTCAGTGTATGGGTTACTTTATAATGTACAGCAGGGTTCTCTGGAAGTGTGTATTTGTTGATATGTCTCTAAGTCTAACTACAGCGGTAGGACAGGAGTCATATCGTGAATTTGTGAAGAAATCTGTAGGGTTTTAAATTGACAGCAGACTTAATTGGAGAGTTTGTGATCTAACTGCAGATAAGTAGCTTTTCTTCCTGTGTTGTTATGCCAGAACATTCACTTCATTTGTCTTCCAGTTCTTATTTCCCATGTAACTGGGTAGGCATTGCACAACTTGTGCTGCTCTCAAGTTTTGCTATTTCAAGAATCCTTATTCAAGCAGTGCTTTAACGTGTCTTTTGGCAACTGCTTTTTTTTAGTGGGCACTTAAAATATAGGAGCACTTCTTCAGTTAAAGTGATACAGAGAGTTATTATGCTGTGGCAGTTTGATTATAGAGGTTATTTTAGGTAATTCTTGATATTGCTTAGTAAATACTTATGTTAACGTAACTGATGAATCAGAGGAAATGTGTACTTCTTGCTTCATACAGGAAAGGAAATGCACTGTCTCATGGACAGGTGTGTTAGAACATGGTTTTCAGGTTCAAGATTCAGGTAGATACCCGTGCAGAAAGGAAGAATTAAGAGCTATGCTCTTCCAGTTCATCGCCTTGATGAACAAGGAGTGATGGCATCTATCTGTGAGAAGACTGAATTCATCTAACGACAGATACATCTACAGTGCTGTAGTAATGTGGGGCAGTAGCTTTGATTGTGTGGAAAGCTCTGTATGCATGCTTAGGTTTTGTAGAGGCTTTGATTCATTTTGAGAAACCTTTGCTTGCAAACTGTTGGTTCCTCTTCTGGACGCTTGTTTTTATATGACAGAAGTAATTCTGTTCACATGAAAACTCAAAACTTAATGAAGTACTCTGTCCTCTAATTCTTTTGCTGGTATTTCACTATTTCCATAATAGACTTGTAGACAATCCTTTCTACCAGTTCTCTGACTTTCTGTGACTGTTCTCTCAGTTTGAGTGGGATTTTAATGGGTGAATTCATTTAGAAATCTAAAGTTACTTCTGACAGCCTTAATCATGGGGATCATTAAGGAGCTTTTCAGCAACTGTAGCTATAATGAGTACATCTATCTTCTAGCTGTTGAAGAAAGAAAGAAGTAATCATGGCTGACAACAGCACGCTGGTGTCTGAAAGTGGGAGGAGCCTCTTGGCTGATTCTTCTGTTCTCGATTCAAAAATTGTAGAAAACTCCAAAGAAAATGTGCTTCCTGGATCTGTTGTAGATGTTGAAGGTGATGTAAGGAGTTTAAGACCACTTTTACAATGACTGATTACTCTGTGGGTGTTAAATTTTGGAAAGCTAGAAGTGCTTTGCTGAACTGCAGTTGTATGTAGTACAGCCTAAAGGGTGTTGGTATGGGATCCTTCCTCTAGCAAAGGAGGAGTCTTAAATTTAAATGCCTTTTGTTATCAAAATCTTGGCTTATAGCCATGAAATTAAATGGGTCTTCTGACTATTGAAAGATTCTTCTATGGAGTAAATAATTTTAAGTGATAAATGGATGCAGGTGTTTGGAAACTGTAGTGGCTCTGTTGTGCAAAATTACAAGTAGCCTTTAAAAAGATTAATAATCTTGAGTTTAAAACTTATTCAGCTTATTAATTAGTCCTAAGATGCAAGCAACCAAAACCCAACCGAAAACAT